TTCGCGTATATATGTATATCTCTCTCTGCAATATAATGGGCCGCTCCATTAATATTTATCTGTTATTTTGACATTTACGCCAAAAAAATTCATTTGATTTTAATAACCCCCTAAGCGTTTCCCTGCAAAAGGAAAATTCGATTCTTCCTGCAATTTTTGCAAAAGCTTTCTAATTGTGGGGACGAGTTTGAATTCGAGATAAAATATATTTATCAAATTCCTGACCACTTCGTCACCAGTCGTCGAGCATTTCGACAGCAGTCTCACGTGGTCGTTTCTTTCCAGAGCTGGATATCATTTTATCGGGGTTAGTGTTCAGCCTTTTTTTTTATCTTCTGTGTGAATTTTTTTATAGCCGATACGCTAACTCCGGTATAAAGAAATATCCGCTCAAGTTTACGTTTAAGCGGCAACTTAAACGAACTCTCTGTAGCTTCTTCATAGCAAACCCTGTTATGAACAGAAGGAAATAAACCAAATGAGATTTCATCCACGTTATTATTAACTTACCTATATAAATTAGCTATTATTTCTCTTGTCTGACTATGTAGCGTCTTACCCTTAACAAATTTATTCATTTTAAAACACAAATATACGATCAAACTTGATATTAATAATTAAAAACTACGAACGAACAACATTATAACAAGAAAACACAACTTAACTATCAAATATACGAAAAATATAGGAATAAAGTTTAGGATAACCGGTATAAAATAATGAAATAAAGTATTAATGATCAAAAAAATGACACCGCCACTGGATATTTCAATAGTATTCAATATTCCTACTCTTTTCAGAAGAGACCGTGAAGTTGGGGATAAAGCAAGCGAATAGGAAAGGCGTAAAAGCCATGGCAACCGCGTGGTAACAAATCCTGTGACGTACTCTCGCCAATCATGTTCGATGAATAGGCGGCCATGCGCGGCGATGCCGGTTTGCCAATGATATCGTTGAAAAATCTTCAACTTTCATAATAAGCAGATTATACAGAATGAAAGAAATGAGTTATTAAATAAAACATATCGAACAATATGAACTACGTTAAAATTCCTTAGTAATATACGTCAGAATATATGCTAAACACATTATATATAATAAAAATATATTAAATTTATAGTTCATGTCTGGCAATTTTGCAATTTTATAGATAAACGTGGCAATATCGATTTTTTTTTTCTCGCATTCCTTCCGTAGCTTCAGATCCGCTGGTCAAACAGTATGTCCCTTAAGTGCTGTTAAGAAAGGGATGATGTAAATTGTTGTTGTAAATAATAACTCTATATATATTTATAATTAATTTATTTTTGTTTCCTAAAATATTTTGATTAAAAGAAAATATGTAAAAGTGGTCAACGCTATGCCAGTCAAGCTTAATCACGTGACTAAAAGTTTATTTGATATGAACTATATACTAAGTGTTTTAAAGTAAAGATTTGAAGTTAACGTCTCCTTTTTGCTGCCAGGGCTAATCTGGACGGGGCCTACTTTGTTTACGGGGAATGCGAACCGAGGTCCTTAGCCATATCATGGTCAATGGCCTACCGACTTGGCAAGTGTCTAAATCGACTCTTACTCACGAGATATCCGATCTCATCCGGCCTCGAATCGGCGTGAGTAAGCAGTGTGTGTCTATAGATTTTACACTTTTGCCTTTATTGGACAACAGCACAATACAGAGTTTCAAACCGGTCACCCGTCCGTCCACTAGTATCGCCTTACGTTGCTTAACTTTGCTGTTCTAATGGGAACCGGTGTTTCGACGTAGCTCGGCCGTTGCCCACTAAAGCTTGATTTTCATGCATCCGTTATCCGACGATACGATGTTAATTTTATTGATTGATTTTAAAGACTTCGATTGGTTAACCGTTTCTAACCAATCAAAGTCTTTCAATTCAACCAATAAAATTAATATCGTATCATCGTATCGTCGGATAACGGATGCATGAAAATCAAGCTTAAGTGGTTTAGGACATAATATGTTTATAAAAACCTTTCAATTTGAAAATTTAATATAATGCATATTTTTTCAGCATACCCATACAAAAAAATGGCAACTACTAAAATATTTTCTATTTGTAAATATAAAATCATATGGAATTAATGAAACAAAATTTTAAACATTCATTTAATTGACGAAGTTGTATGAAAATTTCCGAATAATTTATATTATAGTAAAATGGACTTAAAACTTAATATTGAGTGAGTGAATCCAATCAATTAATATTTTATCGAAAATAAATTTGCAACCGTAAAACTGCAACAATTAAAACAGTTTAGGAAAAAAAAATTAACCCCATAATATATTTGTATATGATTGTCATTTAATTTTATTTAGAATATTCGTCATTAAACTAAAAAATTAAAACACTTCTTAATCACAATAATGATTTATATATAAATGTATTAGGGGTTTTAGATATAAGAAAAATACGCTTCATTTTAAATTGTAAATGTGTAATATCATGTGTCTCATAATATAATTATCGATTTATATGAAGTTTTTATCCATTTTAGCTACTATTGTGTGTGACAAAAATATATTTTTTAAATATTTAAACTTAATGAAACTAATACAAATATCTGATAATTTTGCGCAAATAATATGGACATTGTGTTTTAATAAATACATTGGTAAATAAATGGAAATAGCTACCTTAGTTTCAATTCCAACCATTACTTCGTTCCATAATATTTTAGTTAACTATTCTTTTAATAAAGTTGTTCTTTATTGATCTAAACTTATTAATATTTCCTAATAAACATGTAATTTAAATTTTGGTGGGTATAATTTGTTTTCCCTAAATTATTCCAATATATCATAGGTATTCTGATTTTCGGGGCGGAGACAAACCCAGCAACTCAGTGATCAATAAAGTCAGTACAGCCGTTCTTCACTTATAAATGGTGTAACTAATTTGACTATTTTATTTATTGAGATTATATTGAGATTATTATTAGTGAGTGATACCCCTTTCAATTAAATTTGTCTCGTTAATAATTTCATCTCGTTAATAAACGCTGAAGTGGCGCGACCTAAAAGTATGCAAATCTAATTGGGCTTATGCTCGGCATATTTAAAATGTTATCAAACAGGCTAATTCTCCCTCGGCGAATATCGTTTGCCAAATTAATGAAGTCGAATCAACTGTTGGCGAGTGCTAGAGTTTGAAACTAGTTGCTGTGATCCAATTAGTTTGCGTAATTAAATCTTGTTTAGGGAACAAGATAAATTTGCCATTGTCACCGCATCGGAATCCACGTAATATGTGTTTTGTCAACAAACAAAGATAATTGTCATAACAGTAATATCGTTTATTTTTACCAATAAGGGAAATTACTGTTAATTGTTCTTAACTATTTGTAATAACTTAAAAACGTCGGTGTTTTACTGAAGAAATCTTGGAAGAAAAGAAATAAAACTCTGAATAGATAAACAATAGATATAAAACACTGAACAACAAACAAAAAAATGCGAAAAAAATATCTTGTTAAAACATCTAGACCTCTAAATGACCGATTTAAAGAATTTAAAGATTATTTAATAAAGAAATGTTTCACGAAATACTTCCAGAAATATTCCGTGAAATATTTTACAAAGCTGTTTCCAAGGAAAAAACAAAGTTTTCAGAAGTAAACCCAAAACTTATCTTATGCTGCGGGGAATCTTGGCTTGTCTCGGACACAAACTCCAAAACAGATCGAAATCAACCAAGACAAACCGTGGTTGTTTATTTTTTGTTATAATTGTGTCAGGATATGTTTCGATCAGTTTGACAGGTGTTTACAATTAATCAAAGAATTTGAGAAAAGACCTATTTTATGGAAAGTTAAACATGAGCTGTATTTCAATAAGTTAAGGCTCCAATCTCGACTTCTTTGAAGATATCATTGTGAAGACCATCTAGTACGATGTCGTCGTCTCTTTTTCTTTAGCAACTCATAAATAACTATGAACGCAGCACTAGCTACTCCTAAATGTTCCATGTTTCTCTCTAAATTCGGACACAAACACTGGAGCGCCTCCGAATTCAGGCTCATGCGGTATTACTCTTTAAGCAATACTACTGTTATATTAATCAATTGATTTTTGAATGATAAATCCATCATGGATATACATAAATATGGATAAAAGCATTTCTCGACAAAAACATAATGAATGGATATTTATATCAAACCATTCAGAAAAAATTATATTTGAAAAAAAACTTTGTTGGTTTAGACAACATCTCTCAAACCCTTTGACATTAAAAACAATATGTTATATACAGGGTGTTTTAAAAAACATGTGCCATCTTTTATGGGGAGATTCCTCACGTAAAAATAAGATTTATTTTTCATATGAACATCGGTCTAATTCTGATTTTTTTTTGTAGCTACAGGGTGTTAAAGTCTTCACACTTAGTCAGTGACGTACATGTTTTTTTTAGAAAAATATTCCAGTGATAACCCATATGCACGTCCCTGGTGAATATGTCGACCCTTTTTTTGCTGTAAAATATGTCGCATTTATAGTAACTTTTACCCTCAAAATTTCATTCGAAACGCTAAAAGTACTTGGAAGAAAATTATAATAAATCGAACAAATATTAAGACTTTAACACCCTGTAGCTACGAAACAAAACAGAATCAGACCTACATATATTGATATAAAAAATAAATCTTATTTTTACATGAGAAATCTTCCTACGAGAGATAGCACATGTTTTTTAAAACACCCTGTATCTGTTTTTATCTACCTGTAGATTGACATATTTAATTCCTAGGCTTTTTTCATTCTGCTTTTTATTAATAATTTCCTTTGGAACAATTAATTTCTACAGTAACTGATTTTTAAAACCGTACTGGTAACGCAGTACCGGTAACTTTAGTTTGTAAAAGAAATTATATTAAAATATTAGGTATCAATGTATAGAACATTTATATGGTAGGAGTTACTATATCTCTCTTTCTAATCATTTAAAAACAACTATAACAATAAGTTTTAACAAAAAAAATATTCAAAGACCAGTCGATATAGTACCGTTTGACATCCCCTGTCTCTCATCCTTCTTAATCTCAGCAATCGTCGACACCGACAACTTCCTCTCAGTCAGATCCAGCGGAAACTGGAAACTTATCTCGCTCTTACTAAATATAGCCGCGGTCTGCAGATGCTCCACGTTGTTTTCCTGGCACTCCGCAGCACGCTTAGCACGCCTCACCGCGTTCCTGTGGTGCCTCTTCACACACGAACACACCACGAACACCACCGAAAACACTGCGAACGTTACTATACAGACCAGCCCTATTAACAAACCTTTTTTGTTCATCGAACTCGAGCTATCGGGGTTGTTTTCAGTACTACCACAAGACGGAATTTCGTCCGAATTTAACTTCGTAAGGCGTTTGCCTTTGAGAATACTGGGAAAGGCACATGTTGCATTTTGAAATAAGTTTGTATCGTTTACTCGAAAAAATAGGTCTGTTATATAACACCAGGTGCACGTCCATGGATTATCTGTTATATCAACCCTTTTGATGGATTCAAGAAACGACACTACACTATCATTCAGTCCCTTTATTTCATTTTTACTTAAATCTAAAGAGAATAACTGTCTGGGAAACATGTCGACGGTCACTTCACTGAAATTGTTTCCCGAAAGGTTTAAATTTCGAATTCTGTCAGGAAAAAACCCACTGGAAACACTAGCTAGTTTCATGTGAGCCAAACTCAAATCCCTAACCTTACCCAACACCCCCACAATACTTTTTATAAATTCTTGCTTCAAGTTGTTCCCACTTAACACTAATCTCTCCAGAGTTTTATTCACATGCACAAACACCAAACCTTCAGTCTTGCTAAGCTTGTTATAACCAAGATCCAGTTCGACCAAACTGCTCAAATTCTTCAAAGAAGTATCAGGGACCTTAGCTATTCGGTTCCTAGCCAAGTTGAGGTACTTGAGCTGTTGCTGGTTGACAAAGGTGTGCTCCAGGATGACCGGGAACATGTTTCCGTCCAGTTTTAAGCTGTGCAGGCGATGGAGGTCCTGGAATTCGTCGCTGGCCAGGAACTGGATGCGGTTGTAGCCTAGGTCTAGGTGGGTTAAATAAGGCAACAGGTGGTAGATTTGGGTGTTTATGCGTCGCAGACCGCAATGACGGCATTCCAAAGTGCGTAGTTCCTGGAACAAAAAATAAAATAAAATTAGATGTGAGTTGTTGACTTAAACAAATTTTAAATTCAACAACTGACTTTCTGGCATTATATTCAAATATGTCAAGCTATTGTTACTATCAAAAGTCGGTTTATATTGTTGAAAATACACTTACAAAGTTAAAACTCTTGGTGTAACAAAGTAAAATTTAAAAAAATAATTACAAAAGTACAGCTCTCGTCTACCAATTCAAAGGTTATGGCTTCGAATTCCACAGCCGGCATTTAATCAGCCGACTATTTTTATTAAAATAAAAAATAGTTTGGGTACCTAGGTCGACTCAGCCTTAAAGGAAGACTTGGGATTCACCATCCTGAGGTAATAATAGGCGGTTGAAGCGTAATGCTAGCCACATTACCTTCCTTATATACCGAACGGCTCTTGTATGACAAGCTGTACTTTGCTACTCTCAAGGCGTTAAACGCTATATACGGGAGCTATTACTATTATAATTACAAAAGTAATTAAAAAACCAAGCTAGTGACATCAAAGATTGAGAATCTAAACTGAAGCTTCTGAGTATGGATCGTAAATAAGATTTTTGGAACAAAAAAAGAGATCCAACACCAACATACTACACAAATTAGAGATCTTAATCTAACGTGGTTGGTTACGTATGCCTTAGTACTACCTCTCCTTAATGGTATCATTATTTATTTCCAAATCAGTTCCTATTTGACTTTTTGATTGTTTCTAAAAAAACAGAATTGGGTGATTATAAATGTTCAATTAACAAAAGAGAACTCCAAAACAAAACAGGTAAACCCATTTAGGCGACAAACCAAACAGCAAAGGTTTCTGCTGAATTCGACATGAGTTAGTGAGGCTCAATAAAAGTTGTACACTAACTTTTGAGTAGAAGCTTAAGTTTACAAGAGACTTGAGTTCGATGCCGTAAATTTCAATTTTTTTCCTTAATCTTTTTGTGTAAGGGCTGAACAAATTAGGTGATTAAAATAAAGTCCTCTTACTCAGGATGCCAGCCTATCGAGAGAATGTAATAAAAAATCAAATGGTCTAGCTAGAAAAACAGCGAACACGCGATTAACTGGACCAGAACCGTTCTGTTTCCCAATGCTATGGAAATCCTACAACGGTCTAAGACACTCGAAGAAATTTCTCAGGACTTACGATCGGGATTTAAGTAAGAACAATCTTCGGATTGTCGCGGTTTTTTAGAACACTGTCTCCTCAATGAGAGCTGTCTTCTCAATGTGTCTCCTCAATTAACCTCGATTGCAGATTCTGTGGCAAAATGGAGTAACACTAGAACACCTCATCATTGAGTGTACCAAGATGACAACCATTCGTGCTATAAACTTTGGTACGACTGATATTGGAGATGGAGGACTAACCTTTGTGAAACCGTCTCAAATACTGGCTTTTGTCAAAGTCCTGTAAAACAAGTACCTATTTATTATTATGTCTACAATTTTATAGGGGATTATTTCTGCATAAAATTACTTTTACTGATAAAAATATTATCAGTTAATAAACAAATAACTGGTCTAAAATATTTTATGGTAGTACCTTAATTTCCACTTAAAGCATCTCAAATATTTTGAATTTACCGCATTGAATCTAGTTATTCTTCAAATAAAGCCTAATAAGGCAACTTCCTATGGAGACTCATTTTATTCTGTTTTAACCATTGAAGAAAATGGTCCAAATTTTAACTGAGAGCAAGCCATTAAGATAATCTTTGCAGAATTTGCACCTTTCCCGGGTCGAATATTAAAACATTGCTAAAGAGCATCGGATGCCTTCCGCCCGGTTGGCTTTTATTTTATGAGAAATTCCGATGCATCTACTATACCTCGTCCTTGGAAAACAAATACCTAGAATAATCGTCGCGTTAAACTATTCGGCCGCATTTCGTCTCATGTTTATCTGCCCTCGGCCAAACTTTGCTTCTTTCATGAATTTTGGAAGTTTCTTAGTCGGAATTCCGCTACTAACCGCAGTTTGTAAAGGAGGAAGTTCCAAATAGACTACCTGTTGTCTTATTTCTCTAGCTCGAATATAGGGGGGTTATTTTTCAAATTTTAACCGCTATCATATTTTTCAACATTTCTTATACCCTTTTTAGACTTACATGGGGTGAGTCTTCAATAAGTGTATGTATTTTTACCGGTAATATGTCGACCCCAAACACACAACTATGAGGTTTTTTTTGAGAAAAAAAATTGACAAATTGTAAGTTTTTTTAATTCTATTTTTTAACTAAAAAGTTTTTAGTTCAAAATAGAATTTTTTGAAAATATGGAAACGTAGGCGGTACATTAAATTTACAAAAAAAACTCAAAAACGATCCCAGTGATTCTCAAAATTTAAAAGAAATTTTTTAAAGTAAAATAACTCGGTTATTTTGAATTTATTTGAAAAAACGGTAAAGAGACAATATGTTGCTTTTATCGAGATCTACCAGCCCTCAAAATATTTGCACTTATTTGAGACTCATCCTGTATATACCGGGTGAGCCTTAAAAACGGCTTCTCCTATAACTTTTTATTTTTTCAAATAAAAAATCGAGATGTGGTATGTTAGTATATGACATATATTAGGATTGATTGACATATTCAATTGTTTTCGGTCACTTCTTGTTTAACCGGAAATGACTACAACTTTTGATGTTTAAACAAAAACTCGGTATTTTGTCACTTTATTCGATTGAAAATGACACTCTAAATAGAATGACATGTCATATGTCAACTTTTGACATTTCCGAATATGGATTATTTGAAATTGCAACATGCGGTTCAAAACAACAATTTGACTTGAAATACCAAGTGTGTGGTACCAAATTATTCGTAAAAAATACTTTTCTCAAATATGGTAATGATCCACCGGTTGTTCCATTTGAAAAAATTGAGATATGATTAAAAATACTTTATATCTTTGGGGATATGGAGAAAAATACTTTATATCTTTGGATTTGGGCATCTTTTGACGGGCCAGGACAAGACACTAAAAACATTAGACGATCAAATCTATTTTTCAAGGCTCCCTGATTAAAAAATAGCGTTTTAAATTAAAAAAAATACCGAGTTTTAAAGTAAAAAAATACCGAGGGTGCCATTTAAAAATCAAAAGTTGTAGTCATTTTCGGTGAAACAAGAAGTAACCAAAAACAATTGAATACGTCAATCAATCCTAATTTATGTCACATACTAACATGCCAAATCTCGTTTTTTTATCTGAAAAAATAAAATAGTTACACGCCAGTAACTTTTTTGCAAGCAACTTTTGAGACGTACCCGGTAGATAGATTCTTCGAAGTGGCTATCGGCCTGATTCACTGCGACCTTTCCAGATCTATTGTGGTCCTCTTCTGATCCTTAGGTTACATTTTCATAAGTCTAGCAACTGGGAGACTGAACTCTTCATGTAGTTGTCTGGCAATGGCCTATCATTGCCTATTACCGAGAAAACTGTTTATTTTGTAGGTCCCCTTTGGAGAAAAAAAAATCTCAAAAACTATGCGAAGTAGTCTTTTTTTACAATAGACAAAAATTTATCAAATAATAAAAGAACCATTTTGCGAGAAAAAAGTACAATAAGAAATGTCCGAAACAATACAGAAATAGATGTCCGTAAGCCTATGGATATAGAAAGGCTGGGTTGATGTGCTCTGTGCTGCCATATGCCTGAATTGTAATCTAACTCTATCACAACAAAATAGCGATGAAGAAAAAGAAACGGAGAGTATTTTCGAGCAAAGGTTCAATAAACTTGCGAACAGAGACCGATTGCGATGAAATACTAATCCTACTGAGGATTATGTGAAAGAAATTTCGGTTTTTGATTATTCGTCCGGTATTAAAGGAAATAACCTTGCGACATCTAGACCATTAAGCACAGCGAACCGAAAAAGAATACCCTAAATTTTCAAGTGTTTATTACATAAATTGTAGGAAATTTTCCCTAGTTTCATTTTGTCATCATCATCATTCTCAGCTTATTCAACTAACTCCGATTATGATTATATATTAATCCCTTACATATTTAGTTACTCTCTTTATAGTTGGGTTAGGTAAACCATTGTTATCTATTGTGGGCTATGCGGGCCTAAGTTATCCATACTAATTTCCTAATATCATGGTCCCATCTCAGGTTCGGTCTTCTTCTAGGTCTCTTTATTTCTCGTTGGTACCATGCTGTAATTTTTGTGGTTCATCTGTTGTCCGTCCTTCTTGCCAGGTGTTCTGCCCATTGCTACTTGAGGGATTTGATTAGTATAGTTAAAAATATGTTAAATAAGATGGGATGAATAAGATGGGCTGGTCACGTATGCAGAATGCAAGAAAACTGCATACTAAAATCTCTGCTTTACGGTGAGCTTGTAGAAGGTAAGAGAAGGCCGGGTAGACAACTCAAAAGGTACAAGGATATTTTCCACGAAAACTTAAAGGGGATTAATATGCAGAATGAGTGGGAAGAAGCAGCTCACAATAGAATGCAATGGAGAAGAATGGTAAATTCAGTCAACAGCGACAACCAAAAGTAAAGAGGCAACAAAGCAATAAGATTTTTGAATGTCCGGGTGGTAGAGAGATAACATGTATGGGGCTTTTCAGTCACAGAAAAGTTCATTAAAGAAAACGCCTTGCGTGACCATCTTCTGATGCGTGTCACGTAGGTACTCGTCAGCGAGTAAAGACTGTATGTATGAATATGTATCTATGTATGTTAAATAACAGCTTATCCACATTTCAGGTTTTTAGGATCTAATAGTTGTATCTTTTTTTCAATAATTTTGTGTATTCTAGTCATTCTCAACCTTGGCCTTATTGTTTGCATGGAAATAAAAAAAAACGAACACACGGTAAACAACTTCCTAATAAATTACAATTAGTTGTAAATGCAGGGAGCGGCCGTTTAACGATAAATCAACGGAGTTAACGGTCCTGCAATAGAAATTCGCAAGCAGGACCACAGTCTACACTAAATCACCGCGTTATTCCGAC